AATTGATTTGATTCAGTTAAATTCCAGGAGCATTGATTGAGAGTCTACTCTGTACAAAGCACTGTGCTCACCACATACACAACTAAAGGTGAAACCACACGGGTCCTGATGGAGCATCCATCCTATGTTCTACATCTGCTCAGGAAGAAGGACTAATCCAGAGAATCACAGAACCTCATGGTTGTGAGGGGCCTCAAATGCATTGAGTACAGCCTATACATCAGCAAGAATCCCCTTCACAACAATGCCAACAAGTGGTTTCTCACTCACTGAGAAAAAGCCTCTAGGATGGGGAAGCCTCCCTACCTTCCAGGCACCCTACTCAACTGCCTCTACGTGGAGGGAAGTTGTTCCTAAGAGATGGTCTAAGGGCTGACTCCTTTGAACTTACCCCCATTTCCTCTAGTCTGGGGTTAGTCAGTCAGCCAATAAACATTTATTAAACATCTACGATGTGCTGGGCACTGTGCTAGGTGCTAAGGATACAAAAAGAGGCAAAAGACAGTCCCTGCCTTCAATGAGTTTACAATCTAATGGGAGATATGACACGCAAACAACTAAATATAAATAAGCTCTAAACAGGGTAAACTGGAGATAGCCAACCAAGGAAAGGAGGCTCCAGAACTGAGGTTGATGGGACTCTCTGAGAGAATGACAGGGCCGGAAGGAATCTTTGAGTTCGTTGAGTCCAAGCTCCATGACGCCATGTCACTAGGTGGAATGTCCAATGATGGGACACCTGGGCTTTTCGGTATCTGTTATGGTGTCATCAAAGGGGTATGTTTAGGAGTGATGGGAGGAGAGACTGCAATGGGCTCCCGGGAGTAAAGGAATAGGGTCAAAAGTCATAGGGGCGATGAGAGATCTTCTAGTCCTACCCCCTCATTTTACAGATGGGGAGACTGAGGTTCAGGAAGGTCAGACGATTTGTCCATGGTCACATATCTATTCAGTATGTGTGGAGCTGGATTCCTAGGGTTTTGTGACTCTGAAGTTTGGTTCTGCCATCTTGAATGTGAGGGTGGACCTTTTGATGACCACTACCATCTCTTTGAGCCCTAACAACTGTGTTACATAGCCCTCTGTGATAATGATGATAAGGACAGCTAACATTTATAAAGCACTTTAAGGTTTACAAGAAGCTTGGCATAGATTATCTCATTTGACTTTCACAGCAACCCTGGGAGGCAGGTGTTATTATTATCCCCATTTCACAGATGAGGTCCTGAGAAAGGAGAAGTGATTTGCCGAGGGCATACAGCTGGTAAAAGTCAAGGCTTTGAACTCAGGTCTTCTGGACAACACCCCCACCCAGTACTCTAGCCACTGGGTCACCTTGATGGTTCTGTGTGAAGTGGGGCTTTTTCACATGCCCCTGAAACACATTTTGTCATTTTAAACTTTATTTACTTTTTAAACTCTGTACATGTCAACACTTTTCTCTTTATGTGAGAACGAAAAGACAAAGAACAGAATTTGTCTGAGTATCTGGAGGGAACCTCTTATCTGTCATAACTTAGTTATGTAATGGAATTGGAGTCACCACACGGTGCTGTTTCTAGAGGCCGTTGATTGGGCCCAATTACCCTATTTTCCCATTAAGAGATATTACTGTCACCGGAAAGCTGCCAGGAATGCTGCATGGCTAATACCGATGAGCCATTGCATTAGCGTGAGTCCCACTACAAACATGAAGCCCCAGAACACCCCTCTTCTTTCTAATCCCAACACGGTGACATTTCCAATGAAAGGGGCTCACAGCAACGAAACCTGATGGCTGAAAGGTGCTTTTGTATTCAGATAATTTCCAGATGCCTTTAGGCATAATAAATCAGACCAAAATATTTTTAAACCTCGTTTCAATAGGATATTTTGATTAATTAGAACTGGAACTGTTTTTAGAGACCAACCCTCTCAAACATGAGGAAACTGAGGTTCAGTTGGCAAGAGACAGAGCTGAGCTTCAAACTCGGGTTTCTCTGCCACTCACTACCTGTGGGCTTAAGTTCTGTTGTGCCTCCGTTTTCCCTTCAGTAAAATGAGATCATCATACTAGATGACCTCTAAGATTGATTTCTAACTCTATAAAATTTGAGTCAATCAACAAACATTTATTAAGCACCTACTATGTGTCGGGCACTGTGCTAAATGCTGCGGATACAAAAAGAGGCAATAGATGATCCCTGCCCGAAGGAGCTCTCAAGCCCGTGGGAGAGATGATAAGCAAACAAATATGCTATACAAGCAAGCCACGTAACAGCATAAGTAAGAAATAATTAGTGGAGGGAAGGCACTAGAATTAAGAATTTTCTTAAAATACGGGTTGGACCATGACACCTCCCTACTCAAGAAACTCGAGTGGCTCCTTATCACTTCTCAGATGAAATACAAAATTCTCTGCTTGGTGTTCAAAGCCCCCTGCCTCACCTGTCCAGCATGCTTGCACCTTATATCCCTCCTCCTCTTCCCCAGATCCTCTTCAATCCAGTGACATTTGGGCTCCTTGCTGTGCCCTAAACCAGACCCTCTATTTCTGGCATTTCCTCCCGCCATCTCTTGTTCTTGGAATGTTCTCCCTCCTCCCCCGTCTCCTACATTCCCCAACTTTCTCCAAGTCACAGCTGAAATCTCATCTTCCCCAGGAAGACTTTCTCAATCTCTCTTAAGTCTAGTGCCTTCCCTCTGCTGATCATTTCCTTTTTATCCTGTATATATCTTGTTTGCATATTGTTTCTCTCATTAGGTTGTAAGGTCCTTGAGGGCAGGGACTGTCTCTTGCCTTTCTTTGTATCCCCAGCACTTAGCACAGCATCTGTCACATAGTAGGTGCTTAATAAATGCTTATTGATTGCGTGATTAACCTCATGCCTGATAATGTATTCCCTCTGCAACATTTAAGTCCTCAAATGAGAGTAAATTCACTCCTTCCTGAGAAAGCCTACTCCACTTTGGGATAGTTCAACTATTAAGAAGTTTTCATTCTATCAAGTCCAAAATAATCTCTATGTAACTTAAATTCAAAATGTCTAAGTTCATTTCTACAACTGTGGAGTCACGGTTGGTCTCAGGTCCTAGTCAAATCCTGCCTTCTTCTGACCTTCGTTGCTGCATGGGGGCATCGCCCAGGCTCACAGTCCTGGTGTTATCACCTTCTGCTCCTTGTCTCCCTCACTCTCTATAAGCAATCCTGCCGCTGTTGTTTCTACCTTGACAACGTATCCTTCTATGTTCCCTTGTCTCCCCTTACAGAGCTACTGCTCTGGTTCAGACCCTGGTCACTTTGTGACTGGACATTTGCAATATTACCAGGACTCCTGTCCCATTGCCAAAATCTTCCCTCCCCATGTCCCACTCTTCGCTTGCCCCGATTTCTCTAAAGCACAGGTCTGATCGTGTCACTCTGATACTCAATAAACTTCAACAGGCCCTAATATCACCAGGATAAAATATAAAGTCCTCTCCTTGACGTTTAATGCTCTTCACAACCTAGCCCCTTCCTAGTCAGTCATTCAATAAACTCTGATTAAGCACCTACTGTGTGTGAGGCACCTTGCTCCCTCCTCACATGCAGTTACATTGGCCCATTTGTTCCTCAAACTTAAGACCTCACCCCTGATCTCTGTCTTTGCATTCGCTGCCCCCATGCCTGAGATGCCGCTCCTCCTCACCAATGGCTCTCAGCTTCCTGGGCTCCCTTCGAGTCTCAGTTCAAAGACCACCTTCTGCGAGAGGCCTCTCTGAGCCCATCCCCCACATGCAGTGCCTTCGCTCTGAGATCATTCTGTCTGTACCGGTAAGTACATAGTTGGTTGAGTGGCTTCTCCCATCACAACGTGAGCTCCCTGAGGGCAGGGATCGTTTTTGTCTTCCTTTTCATCTCCACTGACTAATAACGATGGTTCACAGACTGACACAATCACGGAGAGCTGCCTGGGAGGTCAACTGACTTGTCCAGAGTCACACAGCCAATGTGTGTTGGAGGCAGGATGGGACCCCAGGTCTTCCTGACTCTGCAAACAGCTCTGTCCACCACGGTTGACTTCTGCCTAATAATATCAACACCAACCCCAATGAACAGAGTGCTTTAGAAGTTGCAAATCCCTCTACAGATGCTTTCTATTTTAAGCCACACAATCGCCCTGTGAAGTAGGGTGGCCTTATTAAAGACATTACTATTCCCATGTTACAGATGAGGAAAATGGCTAAATGATTTGCCCAAGTTAATCACAGAAGTAATAAGTAGCAGAATAGAGATTTGAACCCAGGCCCTTTCACCTCAAATCTGATGCTCAGTCCACTGTCCCATGTGATCTTGCCCCTTATTTAACAGATGAAGACACTGATATTCAAAAAGGGCCTGCCAGAATCCAGGTCTTCTGATTTCCAGTCCAGTGTTCCCCCAAGAAATCATGCTGCCCTGCACATAGTAGGTGTTTAAAAAATGTGCATTGACTGCCTCACTCACTCCAACAACTGCCAACTCACATCTCTTGAGGGCTTTAAGGTACAAAATGCTTTGTAATATTTGGAGATTGGGGTAAGTAGGACAGTATCATTATCCCCATTTCAAAGATCAGCAAATTGAGGTACAAAACGTTTCTTACAAGTAACTTGTCAGTGACCTCACAGTTTATAGGTACCGGATCTGGGATTTGAACCCAAGCCTCCTGTCTCTTGTCTTGGAGACAGGACTAAAGCAATTTTAATAAAAACATTTGCTATTTGGGATGGGGGGGAAGGACTCTCAGTGGCGGGCTTTGGAGTCGCTGCATGCAATGAATTCTAATGAATAAAATCCACACCTTGTGGAGTCGCTTTCTTCCTTCCCTCCATGCACCTGCAATGACACACCTTCTTCTCATTGTCGTTGGCCTGTTTGCTGAAATGGTTTCAGCAGAGCCTCCCATCCCACAATGCACTTAAAGCCAGGCAGGGGCCTGCCCGGACGAAGGAAGCAGTCTTATTTGTCACATTAATCACGTTTAGAAGTGCTTTCTTACCAGCTCGCTGAACTCATTGTTGCCTAGGTCAAGTCTCTCCAGCTGTGCCAGCTTGTGCATTGACCTATAGGAGGTGAAGAAAAAGAGAGAAAACCCACTGTGAGACATGGCAAGAAAACGGGCTTCTGGAAAAAAATGGCTCTTATGGGGTTTTGCTCTTATACTGAAGTCCTAGCAAAAGAGAGAGAGTAAAAATAAGCAGGCTCTTCTTTATCATTATGGAGCCTTAAATATTCATCCTGTCCGCCCTCCACGCAGACTTGGGTTTGGGGGCCATCTTTGATACAGAAGGGGTTCCATAGTGCCCAGAGCCCTGGACCTCGGGTTCAAATAGGGCTCAAAACGTGAGCTGAGTGACCCTGGGCAAATCACCCAACCTTGGCATCCGTTTCCTCACCTGTAAAATGAGGATATTCTTATGCCATCTACCTCACTGGGTATACAATGCCTGGTGCACAACAGGCATTTGATAAATGCTGGTTTCCTTCCATCCTTACATAGGTAGGATTTGTCAAGGATTTGAACATAAGCTTTCCTGATGCCAAGGCTAGCCCTCTATCCATGGCACCAAAGTGACTTTTTCATAGGATCACAGATTAAGGACTGGAAAGAGCCTGGAATCCAACCCTTTCATTTTTACAAATGAGGAAAATGAGGCTCAGTGAGGCTAAAAGAGACTTTGCCAATGTCACGCAAATGACAAGCCCAGAGCGTGAGTAAAGGGAAGGCCCCCGTCCACATCCGGTGTCCTTTTTGCTCCCAAGCCATCTGTAAAATCCAATTCAAATTGTGCTTTCTCAGTGCAGCGCATCTCTCTGAGATTCTCCACTCATTTTTGTTCCTCCCTGAGATTTCTCATTTAGAGACTTCTATGAATAACAGCCAGAGTTAATATGGTGCTTTACAAATATTAGTTTGTTTCATCTCCACACAACTCTGGTTGGTAGGGTGCTATTATTCTTCCCATTTTACAGATGGGGAAACTGAGGCTGGATTTGACCTGAGGTCTTACTGATTTCAGGTCAGATGCTCCACCTAGCTGTCTTTATGTGAGGAATGCTAACAGTTTGGTTCCCACAGAATTGATAAGAAAACAGGACAGGGGAGATCAGGTTATTGATTAATTGATTTCTTGGTTTATTGGTTTACACAAATATGTAAACAAGATATGGGAGTACATCAGGCGACGTCCCCGAAAGTATCTTGTTTGTCCAGGCTTTCCGGCTCTCCCCTCCTTTTTTCTTACTTTCCTGCTGAACCGACAGTTCCTTGTTTCTCGCCTTTTTGCAAACCTTGTTGCTGGGGAAAAGTTTCCTCGCATAGACTGTGAGCTCTGAAGCCTAGCCAATGGGAAGAGGATTCAGTGGGAGGGTAGGGGTTCTGCCTTAGGGTCTACATAAACTGGCTTTGAGCGACACTGCCTCGAACACCCTGGCTGGAGCCATCTTGAGCCAATGCTGGGTGTGTCCTTTCTCATGAGAAAGCAATAAAACTCCTTTTTGCGTTTCTTAAAGAAAAAGTCTCTGATTTGATTGTTTTGGGGGTCACAAACACCACACACATTTACTTTTCATTTGAATACATTTTATCTTTCTAAATAAACTAGAAACTTACTGGAGGGTAGGGACCCTTTTATTCCTTTTATTTCCCTATCTCTAGCTTAATACCTTTCCCTGGCTTCCTTTATGCCCAACTAAAATCCCATCTTGGAAGGTCCCTCAGTCCCTCCTAATTCTAGTACCTTCCCTCCAGTAATTTTTGTTGGTATTGTTGTCAAGTCATTTCAGTCCTGGCTGACTCTTTGTGACCCCATTTGGGGTTTTCTTGGCAAAGATACTGGAGTGGTTTGCCATTTCCTTCTCCAGCTCATTTGGCAGATGAGGAAACTGAGGCAAACAGGGTGAAGTAACTTGCTCAGGGCCACACAGCTAGGAAGTGTCTGAGGCTCAGACTGTTAATTATTTCTTATTTATCTTGTATTTAGCTTGGTTTGTGTATGTTTGTTTATTTCCTGTTTCCCGATTAGATTGCAAGTTCCTCAAGGGCAGGGATTGTCTTTTGCCTCATATTGTATCACTGGTGTCTAGTATATATACTTCTATTAAGCATGGTAGGTCCTCAATAAATGTTTACTACTTGCTTGCTTGCTTAATAATAGGAGCTCAATGCATGTTGATTAGTTTTTAGAGAATGGCTGTAGTTCATGGTGATTGAGAAATGATCACTGAAAGCAGACGTTTTTCCTGTTTGTGGGGCATGTTAGCTAAAAAGGGGAGGACAATAGAAAGGCTTGGAATGGACCAGGAGCACTCAGACTTTGAATTTGTCCAACACACTTCACCTAAATTAGTGTACACACACACACACACACACACATACACACACACACACATCTGCATGTTTATATGTGGAGAGACAGAGACAGAGAGAGAGAGAGACACTCTTATACACTCAGGACACAGCACGGAGGGCTGGGAGCAAGGCACCTCATTTCTCCAATTTGAGCAGGAATAGATCCCTGGCTATTTACCCACAACGCACTTTCTCCTGGCTCTAATGCTGACAAATGTTTCCCTTTGTTGACTTTCTAAACAGCACATTTATTGTATATAAGGGGACTTTCCTCCTCACAAGCTCCCTTTCCTGCTGAAATCACAAGCCCAGACAAAAGATATTCAACAGAACTTTAGGGCATGTGAGAACACCCCAATGTGGAAACTAAAAATTAGGATTGTTAGTGGAGAGAGGCCGGAGATCTGCGATAGGTGGAAATAAACAAAAGATGTTCCCATACCTCACAGATGTGCATAATAAAGGCAGGGATGGGGGTGGGCTCTGGCAGAGAATGGCCTTGGCTGTCAGGACTAGCTTTAGTGTGGAGCTGGACTCCACATTCGCATGTTCATTTGTGTGTTAATCTGGGATATTTTTGGGGGGTGGGGAGGCAGGATTTAGGGATTGAGGCTGACCGCAGTCTCTATATAGACTTTTGTGAGCAGAGCCCCCACATAAGGTTAGGGATACGGGCTCGCAATCAGGGTCATCAGAATTTTGTGATTCTAAGTCAGATCCTTGGTTGGAACCGTGGACATAGCATCCACAGCGGCTCTAATCAGCTAAAACGAGAGGCGGTTTTAGCTCGGGCTCTTCTGCGAGGCATCGCTGGCCTCCTCCTGGCTGGCAGCCCCGAGATGAGGATGAAGAGGGCTGCAGCCCTCTCTGCTTTCCAGTGGCAGATGGTAACGTGGAGCTGCTGTCTGCTAGCCAGTGAGAGCCCAGCAGGTGGTAGCAGAGCACAGCTGGACAGCCCTGGGACCAGGGCATCCTTGCCAGCAGCGTCGGATTGATGGATGGCAAAGCGATGATAACAGGAGACCGAGTGCTCGGCTTAGAGCAGCCTGATGCGGCCCCAAAGGGAATCCGTGGTTCGACAGCGTCGGAGGTGTGAGTGGCCACGGACTCCCGGACCCCCGCTGTGGATTCCGAATGTTTGCCCTCTGAGGCTTGAACTGAGCTCTGTAGGCTGGAGGAGGAAACCGACGCCCAGGGAGCTCCACTGACCTTTCCAGGGGGCGGCTCTTTGAGGGAGGCTTGTGGGAAGGGCCACCCACCAGGGAGCCAAGTGGTCAGAGCACACACAAGAAGGAAGGGAGGAAGGAAACAGACTTTTATAAAGCTCCTTACAAATGTGATCTCCTTGGATTCTGGTAATGACCCTGGGAGATAAGTGTTATTGTCTGTAATTTACAGAGGAGGATACTGAGGCAAACAGAGGTGATTTGTCCAGGGTCACACAGCCACTGCCACATGTGTATATCTGTATACACTCACTTCCACACATGAGGCAGCTAGGCAGTGTGGTAGCTAATGTACTGCATTTGAAATCAGGAAGACCTGTGTTAGAGTCCTTCCTGAGACGCTTGCTTACTAGCTGTGTGACCCAAGTGGAGTCACCTTTCTTAGCTTCACTTTCCTCATCTGTAAAATGGGGGCAATAATAACAAACACCTCACAATGTTGTGAGGATCAAATGAGATGCTTTGTTCAAAGGGCTTTGCATACCTGGAGTGCTATGTAAATGGTAGTTGTTTTTATTAATTTCTATTACAGATACTGGTTGTCTCTCCAAGTTAAACACAAATCCCTTGAGTGGAGGGACTGCTTCATATTTGCCATTGTATCTCCAGTACCTAGCACCTAGTAGGTGCTTAATAAATGCTGCTGATTGATTGGATGGTCTTTGAGGTTCCTTTGTTCTAGTCTAGGTTCCCATGTGTCAGAGCTAATACCTGGACTAGGTCTTCCTTAGGGGAATACCAACCCTCTCCTTGGGCTGCCTTTCCAGGGGAAAATAGCATCATATAATCATGTGTGTTAGACCTGGGAAGGACCTTGGGAATCCTGTAGTTTAACTGCTTTATTTTTACAGATAAGGAAAACAAGACCCAAAGAAGTTTGATCTGTCTTTAATTTATATCATGGCAAAAATAGATCAGGGTCCATTTTTTGAAATAAAGACTTCCACCATTATAGTATGTGTGTGTAATAGATAATATATGCATCTATATAATATACATACATATATATTATATAGTTATTGGGGCATTTCCTCACACAACTCCAGAAAATGATCACTTATGAAAAAGTAATCCATACACAGATTTATGCTCCTGCTGAGTTACAGAGTTTAGAATGCCCCGGACCTTAAAGGTCTATAAGGTCTGACCTGTCCCATAGTAAGTACTTTTACCAGAAGCCCCTTCCACAGTGTCCAGGACAGACCCTATCTGGCCATGGCTGGAGCCAGTGCCTCCAATGGTGGATATCCAGGGCATTCGCTTCATTTTGGAATGCCTCTAATTGTAAGCGATCTTTTCCTTGCATTGAGTGAAAATACGTTGTTTGGCCCTTTCACTCATTTCTTTCTCTCTCTTTTTTCCCCAGGCTAAACACACTTTGTTTCTTAAACCCTTACTTATTTATTTCTAAACCTCTCTCAACCCTGGCTGCTCTCCTCTGGATACTTTCCCGGTTTCCATTGTCCTTCCAATAATGGTATTTGGA